CACTGCAGATCTAAGCTCCAGTGACCCCCAAGAAGCCGGAGTAAATTATTCATTACGAGTCAAATGGCTTGTTTCTTGTGAAATTACCTTTCTCCCCCTCACCTCCTCTTGGATCTACACTAGCCAGAAGAATAATTAGTTATAAGGGCACAGCCATTTTCAGACTTTAATCATGTAACAGAGGAGTCTCATGCAGTGAGCATATTAGATCTGGAGACGCAGAGAGGAGACAGAGAAAAAAAAGAAGAATAAACCATTGACGAACACTTAAGAAATCTGAGCTGCCTGGGTCTTTAATTAAAAATTGATGCCATATTAGAGATGAAGATTTCGACTCAACAGCCAGAGGAAAATGGAGTGCTTATTGAACTTGTCAGCTCCCCAGGACGAGCACATGCTTTCAGCCTCGCTGGGTGGCTCCATAGGCAGATTCTCTGTATCGATCAATCAATCAATCAATCAATCAATCAATTTACATACTCAATCATGCATACTCTACTATAAGATACAGGAACAAGCTGTAATACAGCATCCGCATATTATCACTATTTATTTAAGTGATAACAGTAGACAAGTCATATGGCTAACTTGTTAACAAACAGTTGCTTAGATACACATCGAGCAAATACAGAGCAACATTGGCTTTAATTTGGTGTCATACTGGCATATTCAGACTCCTTTTATCCCTGGTTGGGTCTCCCCAGCTGCTGGTAGCTGACTGTGTCTGTCTGTACGTGTCTGAGCAGGTAGTGCACAGTGACTTCTTAGAGCTTTTTTACTGAAAACAACTGCCTGCCTTAACTGAAAACTACACTGTGAGAGCAGTGAGAGTGAAAACAAAACAGTAAAGATGGTGCCCCTTTCAAATTAATCATAGTGATTTTGTCCATTCTTTATGATAAAAATATTGATTGTAGGCAAATATTTAATTATCTAATGCACAAAAATATTTTTAATTTACAATGATATGAAAAACTGAAAAGCTTTGCCATTTTTTGCTAGAAAAGTGACAAAATAGTCTATAGCTCTAGTCCCCACAATTCTGAAGTAAAACATATTGCTGTAAGTAGGATAACTGCAACCCTTGTTCATTTTCAGGAACTCAGCAAGTTAAGTCTCAATGTATAAACTCAAGTCTAATTTAGGAACAACATCCTTTGGTTGACACACTGGTCTGTCACCAGTCCCCTGCTTCTGTAGGAGTAACAGCACAGATTTCAGTTAAGTGGCTCCCTGATCTCTGTGCTGTATAATGGCAATAGTGTGCCTCTGTCACCAGGGGAAAGGGGTTAAAACGGTGTACCTGTCACTGTAACAGGCTGATTATTGCCTGTGGAGCTGGCAGGCTTGTGAGAATCGCTTCCCTCCCCACACTCCCTGCTGGGAAAGAGGCCTGGGGCCTGTGCTCACTGAGGCTGAATGACTCACAATTACCACAGCGACAGAGCCTGCAGCCACCTCCCATCCTCTCCAGCCGTTTCACTGACTCACTTAGCGCACATGACAAATGACAAAATCACCCCGAACCTCCGCCCCCTCACTAAGACCTGATTGCCCATCGCCCACACTTTGCCTACAGTACTTAAAGCTGGGATACATCTTGCCAAGCTTCATGGAACAAAACAAACTTAGTCACAAAGTAACTTGCTCTGGCCTTTTAAAGCAGCATTTTACTGTGTTATACTATGTACTGTAGACGGTTTAGCATGCATATTTTATTATGACCTAGTGAACAGTAAACCTTTGACAATACCGCAGCAGACCAGGAAATATTTTTCAAACTCATCAGAACATTTCAGTGTTACAACACTGGTCACAGAAAAAATGTATATGATTTGTGGTGCATTGTGTATGGATGACTTCTTGTACTATGTTTTCAATATAAAATAAGTGAGTGGTATAAATACCCAAAGCGGACAACTTTAGTGCTCAGCTGTTAACAAAACAGTGTCGGGTTATGCATGCTAAAATGTGAAAATATTCCAACTAAAGTGACGCAATGCATTCGTCTTTTGGCAATGTGAAAACAACAGCGAACACTGGGGTTTTTCTACAACGTTTCAACTTGCTTACATAGCATAAGTCACTGGAAGCTTGCTGATAGTTAAATCTTACACCTCATATACTCTCCCAGTTAAATGCAGAGTGGCGAGAGAGTTGTATCAGTATGCAGTTTTCAGAATGCAGTGGAAAAGAAGGGGTTGTTATAATATTTAATGATGAAAAATATGTTAGGTGCTGCTGAATAATGTGCGACCTCTATGTGTGACCTTTGTTCACCAGATTTCCCAGGTTTTGAAAACATGTAAACAATGACACAATAAACCACTTATGAGAACATTTACCTGCAAAATTGTATTTAAAGGCATTATAGTGGTTTGGACAACCACACAGTATGTGTTCTCCCACTGCAGTGATCATTACAGCTCTGGCTCAGTTTTTTCTTCTTTTTTTCGAGCCATATTAAGCTCATTTTAACATTTGTCTTTAACAATGATGCTGCATACTGAATCTGACACCTCCAGCAGTGCCAGACATTTAAATCTTCTGTTCAACAATAGCACATTGCTCACTTCATCTCTCTTCCTGCAGCCTGGCCTCTCAGGCTCTCTAATGAAGACTGTGCAAGAGAGGGAGGGATGCCTTGCTCAATATGTAAGCTACAACAAAGCATACTGCAATATGTTTTTGCTCAGATAGGAGCATTGGCGCCATCTGAGAGTCACTCTAGACAAGCGGCAGGGGCTGGCAAAATGATCAGGATCTTGAAAGCAAGGGGCAGTTTCATAGAAATCAAGAGTGAAATATTTTTCAAGAACCCTAAAGGGCCTTTTTGTAGGACACCGCAGGGGCTCTTAAGTGCTATCTGGGGAGGCAGGCAGAGTGCTACCCTCTGTGCCCAGCAGCCACCAGCTCATTGAAGAAGAGAAATCAAACACAAACTAGTCCTTCAATAGGAGCCATGGGGAATGGTGTATTTGTCATCAAAGTCATCCTGCCTGACCTCAACTCTCCCTCTAAAAAAACAAAGATACATTTGAAAAGATCAAAATCAATACGTCTTCAGCTCCTCCAAATTTCTGTTCATTATTTATGAGTTTGGGATTCTCGAAGAAGCTATCAGAACTATCTGATTCAAAAGGGAAGGAGTCATTGTCAAGCCTGTTATCAGCCCCCATGGGGAGGCTGAAGGATCTGAGCGGCAGTGTAGCGTAGCAGCAGACAGGTAACTAGAGGAGAGGGCGTCTGGCCTCTAACACCCCGTGGTAATAGGGCCAGATTAAGGGAAAAGTGGAGTCCTCTCATCTGAGTCCAAACACCAGACCACAACCACATCAGCGGGAATCCTCGCAAGGCAGTTGAAATGCGATACACGTTGTTATGAAAGGAAATACATGTTTTAGAGAGACAGAAAATCAATATCGCTGACTGACTGTGGTGCAAGTGAACAAATCTGAGTGAGCTTGAGAAACCTGCATAAAATGGAATAAAAATGAGTCAGACTTAATAATCCTGACTAAGCCTGTATAAGGAAGCCCTGGCAGTCAAGACAGTAGATGGATCAGAGCACAGACAGAAATGCATGCATTATGCATCATTGTAAAATCTCTCCGGGTAGAGCGCACACACACATACACAAACCTATCCCACCATTCGCATTTGCATCACTTATTGTTCACGTTTACCACAACTCAAAATTCCCAAACGACGTGTGTGTGTGTGTGTGTGTGTGTGTGTGTGTGTGTGTGTGTGTGTGTGTGTGTGTGTTGTCCGCTGACAAATCCGAAGGACATAACAATGCAGGATACTTCTATGGCACATTAGACAGAAGCTACCTGTTAATAGATCATTACTGATGAATAATTACCCATTACTTTGCTTTCACATTCACACACACTTCACAAAGCTACTGCTGAGCACAGCAGCACTATCTTATCTGCCTCAGTCCTCTTCCCCTCCCCTCAGTTGATGTTAACATCTGACAGCTTTGTGTGTGTGCCGATACAGATTTTTTTTCTCTAATTAAAACACTGGAAGTCCTAATTGGACATTACACTTTATTCTTCAGCCCCCCCCGCACTTACCCACCTCCCCTTCCTCAAACACTTTGATCCTCCAACCAAATCTTTCGAGGCAATAATAGTTTCCCCTGCATTCAGACTCGCAATGCAGTGCTTAAGAAGCAAAAAGCTCACTTTAAAACAGGAAATACAGCTTAGTCTACTTTTCGAGTTTTTGCCTTTAAGTTCTCTCCAGTTAGACGATCTTCAAGTGACCTTTTCTGACTTTGTTCCAGCGAAATTGAGATTCTTTGAGAGGGAAACATCAAGATAGTACCTTCAATAATGTTTTGGCAAAGTAGAAATTTGAGGGTTTTATACAGTAACTGTTGGCATGAATCCTGCTCCTTTTGGTGCATCCAGACACTTTATAAGTACATAAATCAACCTCCAACCTCTGTTGTCAGAGAAACTACTCTACAAAGCATTTCTTAATGATAGAGCTTTATTGTTTTACAGCATTATAGCCTTTGTAGAAAATTGTCCACCCTCACAAATATTGATTAAACTGCCCAAGACCACAAGAGTAACACACTTTATGTGAATTCAGTTTTGGTGTGGATTTTATGTTTGAATCTGTTCTTTGATCCCCCTGGCCTCACCAGTAGCTCGGAGGCGGCATATGAGCCCATTACTAGTGAGCTTAGGGAATTACATCGGCTGTGTGAAAACTAGACATAAAGGAGTATTTTCTCTCACAGTGGAGGTAAACAGAAGAATGTAATAATAGCAATACCTGCAAAATTTCAAGCATTTATTTATATATATAACATTGATAGAATGTCACAGTTTCTACCACTAGAGGTATGAACGTTAAATTAAGTATCGATTAAACCTTTAATTTGTTTTCTGTCCACGTTTCTTTCTACCTTGCTAATAACTGCCTATTTTCTTTCTCTATTTTCTCCTTCGATCCCCACCTCTACCTCCTCTCTCTAGGTGGCCCTGGGTCAAGAAGACGACTCCTCCAGCCCCAAGAGCTCTTCAGACGACTCCTCCAAGACTGTGGGCCTCCTGAGCGGGCAAGCTCCCCTCTCGCCCCTGAGCCGCTGGATGCTTCACAGTAAGAGCAGAGCTGCTAATGCCACCTCTCTGGAGCTGCCGTATCGCTCCCCGGTCCCTTTCTCCAAGCAGGAGTTTTCTAAACAGGAGTTCTGGGAGATGTTGGGCAGCGACCTGCTCAAACCCGACGCCTCCAGCTCCAGGGTCAAACGACGGCCTATTGTTAAGACCGGCAAGTTCAAGAAGATGTTTGGCTGGGGAGACTTCTATTCCAATATCAAGACGGTTAGGCTTAACCTGCTGATCACTGGCAAGATTGTGGACCATGGTAACGGCACGTTCAGCGTCTACTTCCGCCACAACTCCACAGGCCAAGGCAACATCTCAGTCAGCCTGGTGCCACCCGTCAAGGCGGTGGAGTTTGACCTGGAGCGCCAGAGTGTGGTCTACCCCAAGGACTCAAAGATCTTCAACTGCCGCGTGGACTATGAGAAGGTGGATCGCAGCAAGCGCACCTCGCTGTGCAACTACGACCCATCCAAGACCTGCTTCCAGGAGCAGATTCAGAGCCACGTGTCCTGGATTTGCTCCAAGCCTTTCAAGGTCATCTGTATCTACATTTCCTTCTACAGTACGGACTACCGCCTGGTCCAGAAGGTTTGCCCAGACTACAACTATCATAACGAGATGCCCTACCTGCCCTCTGGCTAGAAGACTTGTAGGGGGGAGGAGAGGTGGGAGTGGAGAGGAAAAGGGGGATGAATAGGAGTGACTGCAACACACGAAGAGGAAACCAGGGCTGTGAATAGCTCTTAATGCCACTGTGGCAGCAAGACACCTTAAAAAAGCCCTTTCTGTAGCCTGACTACTGTAAGATGTAAAAACATATATGCAAAACAAAAACTACAGTATGCAGATAATGAGGCATTTGGAATGCTTAACTGCAGCATTCATTAACTGGACTGATAGTGAAAATCAAATACCGCCAACACACACATTCTTACCTCAATCCAGTTTCTAAATGCCAACTTTTCGCCAGCTATTTCTCTCCTCCATTAAGTCATTTGTGAATGTTGTCTGAATGTCCTTTTAATCCCCCTTTATAATATTGCTCTTTTGCAAAGTCGCAAGGCAGTATTTTCAATGACGATGCCCATTTAAATGCTGTGATACGATTCACTGGAGAGTTGTATACAAATTCTGACTTTATTAAAAATATCAGACAGTTTAACATCGTACACTGTAAAGGCAAAAAAGATACTGATTTAAAACTTACCAGAGGGAACAAAAAGCATTGTTTTTCTCACAGAGAGCAGATGAATGTAAAGTGTAACCAACCACAGCATCATTTAGGTTACACTCACTCAGTCTTCTTAAAGGGCATCTTTTAAGTCTATCTCAGAAAAACTGGAAAAGTTCCCTTTCTTCTTCATCTACTCACATCCATGTCCTCACATGTAAGCATCCCACCACGGCATTGTCAATGTGTGTTTACTTTTACAGCCTGCCAAATCTAATCACACTATGTCTCTCAGTTATGTCACCTCCATTTGAATAAAAGAGGGAAGAGAGGGAGAGAGAGCAAAAGAATAATAAAAATTTGCAAGAAAAAGCAATTGCTCAACAAAGATTTAAGGGCAGGGCTTAAGACAAGTTCAGTGCGAAGAAAATAACTAGATTCTGCATAGAGATAGAATTGGCCCTCCACACTTAAGAGAGAGAGAGAGATGTGGGAGAGTGAGAGAGGGAGAGATTCAGTGAGCTGTTTTAATTAAAGTGGAGAAGGAGACGTAGAGTATGCAGCTCCTTCTATTGTCCCCTCTGTATGAAAAAGATTACATTTTGTTGCCGTCAGGATTCCTGATTTCACGCCTTGATAACTTTGACTGTGTGAGGGAGATTGCTCTCTCCCGACAAATACTGTGTTCACTAAAGTCGGCCCGTTATCTTGAATAAATGAAAATATTATCATAATAATTACATATAATTTAATCTCCTTTAGAACTAATTAAGGTTTCAACGAGAGAGCGAAATGTATTCCTAAAAATCAAGTCAGCGGGTAGGAGGATAAGAGGACGTTCATGGTGATTGCTGTGTTTTTGCGTGGAGCCGGCAGCCACAGCTCAGCCCAGAGTTAACTGCTCTCATTAAGATAAATGGCCACTGGCTGGCCCATCTCGTGTTTCTCTCACAAACAATATCAGCGGAGAGCAGTGCACAATGGAGCTATGAATTAGGTAGTCTGACATTTTGTGTGCTGAGAGGTTACCACTATCCTGCTTATGAGGACACAATGACTTTTCAGTTCATTAACTGTGAACAGTCACAAGACAGGTGTGAAGAGTCATTAAATGCTGATATCAGATAACCGGTTTGACGCTAATGTGCTGTGATATCAGGGATATAGCCAAGATCTGTACACGCTTGGCAGGAACTGTGTAGCGATGTCCCAAGTGGATCCATGCAGCAGCAAACGGTCACCATGAAGCCGTCCTCCTGCGGGGGGTAGCATAAGGCTGGGCATAATCGGTCGCCTTGGCTGCTCTGTGTGAGAGCAGGAGTAGGAGGGAAAAACACAGCCACAAGGGCTAAAGATAGTAACAAAGACCTGTAAATCTGCACATCAAAGCTCTGAGTTTTTAATTTACCCTTAAAGAGGGGGGTAGCGCTTCTCCATATGCAACCAAATCAACTTGTGGCCCAGAGCAAATGGCTGTAGTGCACAAGCAAGTCTGCAGGTGACAGACGGCTACACCACCCGCAGCAATGATAAATGCTGTTCATCTGCCTAAGTCAAACCTCTGCCTCCTCTTACGTGTGATTGTTTTATCAAACAGATATTTCATATATGCACCGGCTTGGCTGTTGGCTCGCTTGTCTACAACACACGTATTTGGCTGGCTTGTCTCATATTATAAGTGTCTCACAATCAAGAATCCTCAGAGAGGGCTTTTTCGTAAAGAGGCTACAATCAATCAAAGTGCAAACTATGTAGAGACAGAGTCTGATTTCTACAACATCACAGTAGCAGTATACAGTATTTATTTGAAAGCATACATAAAGAGTCCCAGTGAAACATGCAATACAGGGGTAGATTTGGCAGCAACTGAAACTAAACACCTGATTGCATTTGTCTGAAGGTCCTTTTCCTGGATGAGATACACAGTTTCATGTGTGTAAAATGCTTATGAACCAGCATGAATGAACCACTGCCTCTTTCTCTGTTCACCCATTTCCTCATCCTCCACCTCTCTCTAGCCCTTTCCCCTCCAGACGTCTGCGTGTTATTCAGCCATATGCCCTGCTGTCTTCACACTGTCATCCTCTCCCTGTGTGTGACCTGGCTGACTGGCCTAAGCCTCCATACCCACTCTACCTCCCTTACCCTGGCGTTGAACCCTGCTGTGGGTAGTTCCTCATTGCTGCCCTGCCCGCCCTCCTGTGCACAGTGCTGAGCTGAGCTTGCTGATCTCTGTGAGCTTAATGCATCAGCAGTGAGAACTCCCCTCTCTCCTTCTCTATCTATCTATTTCTCTCTATATCTATATCCCATCAAACAAATGCGTGTTCACACACAGTCTTAAGATGTGCTGGTTTAGGTATTTTCCTCTCTCCTGTTCAAAGCATCTTACATAAGCCCCTGGATTGTGAGGACATGAAATCTCCTCGAGAGCATGCCAACGGAGTGCCCGACACAGATACGCCCCAGTAACCTCAATACTCCCCCCTCCTGCAGGGCATCTGGAGAGAAGCTGGATATTCACACACGTTGGAATCAAAGCTGGGCAACATGAGCCCATAGCACTGAACTCGTGTAGAAGAAACAAGGAAACATCTTGGGCTACCTGCCGGGAAGAAGCTCCTCACTCTGCTTCTGACCGATCCTCTCAGATTTACAGCAATACTCTCACTGAGACTCCACCCTCTCCGCCTCCCCGGGGTGATTTAAAAAAAGGCTGCTGGACTAAGTTTAAGAGACAGTCATGTTGCTGTGGGATAGTCGGTGTTGTTACGGCAGCAGCCTTACTGTGGACCCATCTAGTGCCAACAGATGTGTGGATATTTGGCCTTAGAGACTGAAAGAAAACACTGGTCCACTCAGCAAAGAATAGTAACAGACTGTCAAAAACTAAAATATACATATATATATAAAAGCTAAGAGTCCTCAGATCTGAATAAAGTTGTATTTAAATGTGGCTCATGCAGTGGAGGTTGTCTGTTTTATCTTTTTGTTCCTCATGGTTTTGTTTCTCTATGTCATGTGGATGATATACTGTATGGATGATATGATGGCATTTACTGTGGTTTTCAACATTCTAAAAATCAATAAAGTACACACAAGTACTTAAACCACTTCAGTTGTAGAGAGACAGACTCCGGTCTTATATCTGGTTGTGCTTTATGTGTAGGAAGAGTGTGTCAACAATGCTGAAGTCTCTATTTTCTCATATTTGCATACCCATACTGTGTGCCAACAGCAAAGAAAAGATGTGACAAAGATTTTTGCTGAGGGCTCTTGCAGATATACATGCAGAGAGAGAAATAGAAGGAGAATAAGGAGCAGGGAAGAAAATGGGGTTGAGAGAGAGAAGAAGGAAATGTTTCAACTGGAATGATGCATGAACACAACTCGATCCCCTAATTAGCCTCCACTTTCCTTTTTTTTCCCCCACTCTTGGTTTCTTTGTTGTTCATCTTCGCAGTACCCGTTCATTTTAAGATGTAATTGACAATAAATTCATTCTACTTCTTAATTAAATCCCAGACAACTGTTAACGAGGGGATGGGTTCAAACATTCAGCTCACAACATCCCTTTAAACAAGATCGATTAAGGCATGGCTGGCGGCAAAGCCAGGCCCTCCACCCCCCCCTTTTACGCCCCCTTGTTCCCATAAAAGTGCTGCCTGCCTCAGGATAACCTTGTCGGAGATGATGAAAGGGAGGCAAATAAGTCAACATGGAGACAGAAGAATAGAAATCTAATTTGGAAGAAAGCAGGATTGAGGTTAATGTGAAATCTGTGAGAGCAGCATACTGGGTCAAATATGCACATGGACGCACATACAGCAACACGTGAACAGATACACACAGAGGGTGGAAATGGCTGGTAACAATCATTGATAATTGGCATAAGGATTTACAAGCAGTACAGAAGCTTTTGATTGTCCAGGAAGAGAAAACAATTCAAAAGTGTGAGCTTCTCAGAGAGGAAAGGGCATTTCAGCATGAGTAATGGGAAGCTGGACGATAGTCAATTGAGAAAATAACTAGTCATGGCGTGAGGAGGCGGGAGAAGGCGTGCAAAGCTTAAAATGATAAATAGACATTCAGAAAAATAACCTTGAGGTATGAAAACGTGTGTCTGGAAAAACTAGACAAAATATGTAACAACAGACAAGGAGAGTGAGCAAAGACAGAAGGGACGGTACTGACTCCTTGTTAGCACTTTGTTTTGAATAACAAGGCTATCAGGTTCGCAATTTTTATCCTGTAGAGTAATAATTACGTGCCATTTTCCTCCATGACATGTTACACCACAAAGTCTAGTATTGTTCTGGTGGCAGATATTGCACTCTGCAACATCATCCCCTCGCTAACACTGTTGACAAAGTCGACACTTCAACCATGGCGCTCTCATTTCTTCACACTTTGAAATCATCGAAGAGGATTAGACTTGTATACCAGTTTGATGATATACAGAACCAGAGTGATATCGAGATCTTATTAAAAATCTGATTTCATCAGTCATCTGTAACTAATATGATACAGGTTTCTCCCTGCAATGAGGATAATCTTCTTGGCATAATTCTGTTTTTTAATCTATTTTTGTAAATTATTTCTGAATTTAAAGGACTAATGTTTCTCCAAATCTCTTCTTATATTGAATAGGTGTGTTGGGTCACCTGCTAACCCATCTGAAAATGTCATTAGTCTGGGCTTTCAGAGATTTTGGTGTCTCATTATGGTGTAAATTTGGTTTGTGAGGCTTTTTCACCCTGAGAAGAATGACATTCTGGGGATGTATGAATATGAGGTGAAACTGAAAACATATTGCCATGAGTCATACAAATGTTTGGTGAACAAAAGACCAACTTAAATTTTGTATGACAAAAACCCAGTCCACCATTAAGTGTCTCCACATGTGTAATCCACATCATGTTGGACGCAGGACTGCAGATCTTATAGAGATGGATTAGAGCTTTTGTTACCTGGATACCAATTCCATCAAGATGCAATTTCTTATCATACCTCCCCTTCACTGCACTCGCAGAATTCAAATACACTTCACGTTCTTTGATATTCTGGATTGCATGTAGGGGTGGTCATGGTCATGCTCTTACTATGAGCACAAATGTGTAAAAGCAAATGTACACATGCGCTGCCCCCCCCACCACACACACACACACAGACCTTAAGTGGTTTCATGCTCTAGCATCCTAATAGTATCTCTGCCCGCAATGCCAATCATGGAACCCGCAGTAGAGTGGACAAGCAGGTGGGCCAAGTCTCAGCCACAGAGCATCATGGGAGATGAGTTACATCAGACAAGGACAAATACAGGATCAGCCTCTAAACCCCTGAAGCTTCTTTTACGATAAAGCCCTGGAGCCCTTATCTGCAATTCACTGTATCCAGCACAGACTGGACACACGACACGCTCTACAGAGGCCATGAGAGAGGCTGGAAAATTGCAGTGAAGGGGTTAAGGAAACAGCGGGGGGACGGTGGAGGCTGTGAGAGCTTGTTGCAAAAGAAAGAACAGATGGCCTAGGGCTACAACATGGTGGGAAGAGGAAAGAATAACTGAATAAACTAATTAGAAGGGCAGAATTTCACACACACCTCCATCAAGTCAGCACTCCCTATCTCCACTTGAGAAATATGTTTCATCTATAAATCATTTTTACGTGGAGAAAACAAGACTTTGAGATGGAAATACTAATATCAAAGCTCAGGGTTTTACACTTCGCTGCATCTTGTAACACAATAACAGCAAAAGTGGAGTTTGGATTGCGGTGGGTGACAGCAAATAGCTTCACACGTTGATGTCAATGCGGAAATTCAAGCTGGGCATCTGTGTCATGCAATGTGGCAGTATTAGCTGGAGGCCATGATGAAGACATTAGGGCTGTGATCTCTGTATTAGCCCTGAAAAGAGGACATTTCCACTTAACTAAAGGAAGCGATAGAGAGGAGGGGTAATTTAAATTCAGTGACAGGGCTTTAAATACCAGCCAGGGATCACAGTTGTGCCCTTTGGCAAAGTAATTATTCACTCCCTTAGAAGACGATCAGGTGTGGATGTGTGGTCGTGTGCGTGCACATGCTTTTGGCGAGCAGTGTGTCGGCATCTGTGTGTGTGTGTGTGTGTGTGTGTGTGTGTGTGTGTGTGTGTGTGTGTGTGTGCATGAGTGAACCGGGAGGGAGCGAGGGAGGTGTGAAATGTTACAGTTTCTCCTATTTTCATGTAACTGAGAAGTGTTTATGCCAAACTCTTCAGAGGGGAGAAAGGGTGTTCAGCTAAGGGCTCATATCAGGTGATAAACGTGAGAATGAAGAGAGAAGGAGACACAAAACAGAAGCTGGTAAAGGTTAGCTTTCCACCTCTCCATCACTGTCTCTCGCCAGCTTGTTCTCGCCTCCCGTCTGTTTTTTTCTGTTATAACCTTCAACCAGAAGCGATGTGATCTCAGGAGGAGGAGCTCTCTCCCAGTGAGGCCAGACCGAGGCTCAGCCCAGGGGCTGATGGGATGAGACTTTCCTTGGGAAACTGTCCTTCAAAAACTGCAGCCTGATGGATTTTTTTTGGCCCTGGTTTTGCTTCTATCTTTCCCAACACATCCACAGTGCTTTCCTCCTGGCAACACTCCATCTCCCTTGAGCTCCCTCTATTGCCCCTAAGTTACCAAGCAGCCCCCAAAACACACACAAAATACACAGACACACACATTTCTGCTGGTTTCTGCTGACAGTCCAGTCCTTAGTACTGCAGGGCTGTTGCCTGATAAGTCAAAGACAGAGTTGGAGGCCCTGATGCCTCTCATTATCTTGGGGGTGTTAACAGGGAACTACCCGCCTCCATACACACACACACACACACACACACACACAGAGCGATCTTCCCTCTCCAGGCTTGTCATGGGACTGTGTTGTGCCCACATCGTTATCAGCGCTCCTGCATGAGTTCATCACAAACCCAGCGATGTGCAGACTCAGCTGCAAACAACACACAACACCTCAATCAGTCTTTATTTGCCACCTCTTCCTTGTCATATTTTACAACTTTCCCTCTAATTTGGGGACGAGGAAACAGGGAACTCTTAAGTGAGAAGCTTTATTTTGCTACTTCTCTCCTATTAGTGAACAGATTTTTGTTCAGTTTAATTTTTTACAAAGTCTGTGTCCTGCTGGGCCCAGAGGTTCTCCAAAACCAGCACTGAGCCGCAGGCAGTGGAAAAACAGTCACCTAACAGCAGCATATCCCCCCTTCAGGCACTCACTGCAAATGGCACAAGCATGAATGCTGTAAAAGTAAAGCTCCCCTCAAATAACACTAAAATGCAGTCGACGGACAAACAGTTGGTTCACCTCAGGACGATTCCTTGAAAGACCTATGGCAGCAAATGCTATCAGAGTTCCTTCATATGAAATGGAAAAGTCTGGCCATGGTCCCTCTGTAAAATGTGTGAATAACCCTTTCTGCAAAACCCTTCTTTTATTGCTCTGATTGAAGTGAAATCGATGGCTGGGCTTTGCCGTTTACAACTCAGTAAAAAGAGAAAGCTACGACGGAGAGCAGTATCATTGCAGGAAGGTAATTGGAAGACTAGACTTTAATATGACCTCTCAATGACAATGGATGGTCAAGTTGCAGTCTGACATTTTAGCAAATTATAAGAGGATCACAGCCTGGTGTTGATTAATTATTTCACATATACTGTTGGAATGTCTAAAATAATGGCCACAGAAAGAGCAAAAAAAAACTGCGCCTTTGCAGCCCCTCCAGTGTGAAGGATCTGAAAGTAGTGGTGGGAGAAGCATTTAGATGCTTTAATAAAAGATCCTCTCCATGAATTAGGATATCTATACAAATCGGAACAATAACCTGTGTCCTATATGTTTCATCCCTAAAAGAGTATAAATTAAAAATTAAAATGATTAAAAAGGCATCTACTCTTTCTACCTCATTAAAAAATGCAGAATCTATGAATATGCACATTTTTGTTTATTTCAAGATGTCTCCTACTTCACTGTAAAGTCAGCTATTTGTGATATCACACGTCATGCTTGTAGGCCCCACCCCTTAAAAGCTGATTTTCATGGAGCACGGACAGACTTTCCACTTACATCAA